GAATTTTAAATGCATTAAAAAAGGATCCAACGATTAAAGTCGTTACGGTGTGTTGTGAATTTATTAAACAACATGTTGATAAGGATAACCAACTTTAAGTATTCTAATACAAAAAATAATTCAATAGATTTAGGGACTGATTTATATCAATATTTATATTAATGGAATTTCAAGAGGGTCAGGGCAGATTTGCACTCAACCGCATTTAATGTTTGGAAATCAATATTAACAAATACGATTTTTCTAATGGAGATACGTCATATATTGAACTGCCCCAAGAAATTAAACAAAAAAATGCTGTGATAAATATAAAAAATACAGACCAGTTTTGTTTTACTTATGCCGTTGTAAGTTGTTTGTATCCTGCAGAAAAATATACAAATCGTATTAATTCATATCCTAATTTTTATAACTTTTGAATTATACTGGAATCATTTTCTTATTACCATCCAACAAATAAAAAAATTTGAAAAATTAAATAGCATTTCTATGCACATACCGTGAGACACCCTGTCTAAGTGTTAAAATTAAATGGGAAAGATTATTCCGTTGTTCCCGCATATGTTTCGCGAATTAAGTTCTTCAGACACGTAAATTTACTTACGATTCAAAACAAATATTTTTCAGATGACTACAAGAATTCTTACACCAAAAATCAAAAACACTTTGAAATCAAATATGATTTTACCTGGATTAAAAATTTGTCGAGGTTACGTTCGAAGCAGGTTGCACGAGGCAACGGTGCAATATTTAATTGCGATAGGTGTTTAAAATACTTTAAGAGTCAAGAAAAATTAGATAAATATTAAGTTGAATGTGCGTGAATTGATACATGTAAAATTTCTTTTCCGGATGAAAGGTATTTATCTTTCAAAAATTTTAAATATAAGGAACTCGCTCCTTTTATTGTTTATTGCGATTTTGAAGCTTTATTGAAATCGGTCAATGATAATAAGAGCAAAACGGAGATAAGTCAAAAGCATGAGGCCTTTGCCGTGGGTTATTATTTCAATTGTAGTTATGATAAAAATGTATCGTATTATTAAAGTTATGTAGTTCTCTATTGTGTGCACTGGTTTGTGAGGGAACTTGAAAATATTGGGAAATTTGTAGATGAAAAATTAAAATTTGTAGTACCCATGGAACCTTGTTCCGTTGAAGCTCGGAATGAATCAGAAAAAAACAAATTGTCACATCTGTACGAGACTGTTTAATAAAGATGATAAACGCTGTCTCGACCACTGCCACCTTTTAAGAACTTTTAGGGACTGGAGTTACAATAACTGCAACTTGAATTATAAAAATACTTTCATGGTTCCCGTAGTTTTTCACAATTTATCGGGGTATGACAGTCACTTGTTGATTAAAGATGTAACTCAGCTATTTCTGGGTCGTATAACGTTCTTAGCGAAAAATTGAGAATACCCTTCGTTTACTTAACACCTTCCGGTTAAATTTAGGTTTCTAATTTTTTTGGATTTTTACCATCGTCGTTAGATAAATTAGCGTCCATATTACGTAGATTTGAAAATTCTAAAAACGGAATTTTCCCAATTAAACAGTGATTTTAGTGTGCTTACTCGAAAAGGAATATATCCGTATGATTACATAAATTCGATAGATTTTTAAAGAGAAACATCATTGCTTCCTAGTTCAGCTAATAAGTTAAACGATGAAGATGTTTCCGGGGATGACTACATTCATGAGCAAAACGTTTGGAGAGTTTTTAAAATTGGTAATCTCTAATTTAAAGATGGACGTTTAGCTATTAGCTAATATTTTTGAAAATTTTAGGGATCAGCACATTACTATAAGCTGGTAGGATTATATGTTAAAACACACGAATGTTACATTAGAATTTTTGCACGACGTTATTGTTTTTAGAAAAGACGATTCGTGGGGGCGTAAGTCAATGTTGTAATAAATATATGTCTAATTACGATCCATACGAACTTTCCAATTATTTACTTTATTTCTATGTAAATGGGCTTTATGCTTGGGCGATGTCACAGTATTTATCGTCTGGAGAATTCGAATGTTGAAAATTTCTATGTACGTTCGACGGCTGATGACTCGAGTATTGGTCAAATTTCGCTATTAAATATAATAAATATGAAGGTGACAAAACAATCAACAAAACCCCCGTCATAATTACAGCTAACCAACAGTATCCCGAATAGTAGTAATTTTAGTTCCTACAAACGTCAGCCATTCTATTAACAAAAGTTTTACAAAAGTTAGAGGGTCCAACCAAACTTACTATAGCTGATTGTGTTGATACAATGGATGGATCCGACATTTGAAGTGTCGAATTATACAGATGAATTTTTAAATTCATCCGTCACACAAATTGGTCTTAAAAAATGGCGCTGTAATAATGCTTTACGCAATTAAAATCTAAAAAAGGTTTGTGCAATGATACCAGATTAAGTGTTCCTTTGTGGGAAAATCAGTACATAGACGCAGAGAAAATCGACAGTAGTGGCAGACCTCCTAGTTTTTATTCTCCGCATACACCTCAAGACAGGACGCGACGTCTTACCGTTTAAATTAAAGAGAAGGCAATTTCCCGTTCAATTAGCTTATACTATGACGATTCAAAATGGAGACGTTCTATATGCTGTAACTAAGTCCAATCAAAATATGGCAATGGCAAACATAAATATTATAAATTTAATTAAAATAATTACTTATGTACTTACTGCGCAGAATAAATAATTAAAGTTACTAAGTGTTTTCCTTAAAAGAACGTACAAGAAGTAAATCCTTCGAAGACCAACCACTTCAACATAATTGGTGCAGGCAAGAGGATACCACTTCCACGTAATTAGCGCAGTCGGTAGGATCTCAAGAACAAGACAGAAGAATTAGATAAATTGATATCAAGAGTAACTTCCAAAAACCATCTCACGATAAACCTTTCTATACTAATAAAAATTACCATTCAAGTAATCCACATAATTTGCACCCTTCGTTTCAACAACATCAACAAAATCAAATGTGAAGATTTAATAACACACCCTTTAATCCATTTGGACAAACATCCAATCGATTTAAACCACAGTTACAAAATTTTGATGAAATTGAATGTCCAGAAAATTTTGAGAACCAGAATTTTATCTGTACCGAAATATAAACCCTTCCGACGTAATGGAAATACATGCCGGAAGTTTTAACCGCTTACCATATATAGAAATAAAAAAACCTAGCACTTGAACTATTTATAGACACCGCACCGGTTCAAATGTTAGAAGATGGCATAATTCGTCCATCTCAATCACCCTTGTGGGTTGTCCCTAAAAAAGGACAACAAAAATGGAGAATAGTAATAAACTATAGAAAATTGAACGAAAAAACAATTGACGACCGATACCCATTACCCAATATAACGGACATATTAGACAACACTAGGTCGATGTAATTATTTCACTACATTAGATTTAACCCAAGGTTTCTATCAGATAGAATTACACCCTGACTCTATACCTAAGACAGCGTTCAACGTAGAAAACGGACATTACGAATATGTAAGAATGCCTTTTGGTCTTAAAAATGCCCCCTCTACCTCAACGTGTCATGGACAATGTTATAGCTAAACTACTGAATAAGATATGTTATATGGACGATGTGATAATTTTCCCCACTTCCCTTCAGGAACATATACAAAATCTGAAGTAAGTATTTAACAAATTTTGTGAGGCTAGATTAAGACTCCAACTCGATAAATCTGAATTTCTTAAATAAGATGTAGAATTTTTAGGACACGCAGTCACTTCGGAAGTCGTTAAACCTAACCCTAAGAAAATACGAGCTATTCAAGAATTCCCTACACCAAAACCAGCCAAAAAAATCAAATCCTTTTTAGGTCTATTAGGACATTATAGACGTTTCATTAATAATTTTTCCAAATTAACAAAGCCTATGACAAAATGTTTAAAAAAAGGAGATATGATAGTTCATTCCCCTGAATGTATAAACTGTTTCGAGCAATGTAAAACTCTCCTATGTAACGACCCTATTCTAAAATATCCAGACTTTGAACTTCCATTTGAAATTACCACTGATGCTTCGAACTTTGCCACGAATGCCATATTTAGTCAAAATCAAAAGCCAGTAAGTTATGCATCAGGTACACTTAATCCAGATGAATGTAAGTACAGTACAGGGTGGGCAAATAAGCGAGGTAAGCGGCTGTATCTCAGAAACTAGTGATCGTAGAGAACTACGGTAAAAAATCTTATAGGTAAAGTGGGCAAGGGAAAATGCTGGAAATTATTTTCAAGTTTCCAAGATGGCCGCTAGTGGGCGTTTCCACCATCTTACATTACATATTACATAAAGTTACGTTTCTCGCGATTTTCCCCAATGAATGTAACAAAAAAGTATTTGCGTTTTAATGATAATAATAATTAAAGTCGAACATTTTTTGTAAAAACAATTTTTCTCTATCTTTCGAAATAAAGTGGTGGGGGTGTATTTGAATGTTGTAACTGTAACTTCGAAACGGCTTAATGGATTTGGATAAATTTGGTATCATTGAAAAGAGTATTTCTTGGGCTTTTAGGTTTCTCGTAATCATGACAGTTGTGACCTACACGGCCGCCGATAGAGGGCGTTATTCAATATTATAACCAAAATATTGGATTTTCTCAAAAAATTTAAATGCGATGATATGACTTTTTTTAGACTAGAAAATAGACAAATGACCAACCAATAAGCCTGCGCAAACCGCATCTTAATATCGTTTTCCTAACTCAAATTATAAAAAAAAATACTAAACCAGGAAAATTCATATATCCCCATTTAAAAATGCATCGGTTGCTTTCGATAAGAAGGCAAGTAGTAGGCCATGGACACGACAATCGCCTAACAAAAATTTTGCCAAGTAACGTCAAACTTTTGTCACACGCAGCCTAATATTGTTGATTGCGTATAATTTGAGTACTTTTTAATCAAAATGCCTCTCACAAATAATGAAGCCGTTGACATGATTGCGATTTATTTCGAGTGTTTTCAAAATGCAGCTATAGCTGCAGGACAGTACCCTGCACGGTATCCAGATCGCCGTCATTACGGGAGAAGAATGTTTCCGCGCTTGGTACAGCGATTACGCGACACTGGAAGTTTTCGTCGTCCTAAACGTCGCAGGCGTCGCAATGGAAGGACCGAAGAAAACATTATCAATGTCTTGGCTTACATAGAATTTGATAGACATGTAGGAACTAGAACATTGTCTCTAGACTTAGGAATAGCACGAACAACTGTTAGAAATATTTTGAAAGATTATAGGTAAATAATTTTATCTTATTCCAAGTATCTTAGCACATACTCTCAAATACACAATTCTGATTATATTATTTTTACGCATATGTTGTTTTTTACTTTTAGATTACATCCTTACCACATAGTCTTGCACCAGGCGCTAAATGAACAAGATTTCGGTAATAGATTAAATTATTGTCAATGGATGCTAGGCATGCTTGAGGAAAACATAAATTTCTTAACGAAAATTCTCTAGACCGACGAGGCTACCTTTAGTAGTGATGGTAGAGTAAACCGTCATAATATGCATTATTGGTCCGCTGAAAATCCGCATTGGTTAAGAGAAGTGCAGCACCAGGGACGCTGGAGCCTAAATGTGTGGTGCGGTATCATTGGGGACAGAATTATTGGACCTTATTTTTTTGATCAAGCTTTAACTGGTAACCGCTTCTTAGAGTTTTTGATCAACGACTTGCCAATTTTGTTGGAAGATGTGCCACTCGAAACTAAAAGAACTATGTTTCTGCAATTAGATGGTTGTCCGGCACATTATTCAATTAATGTCCGCAACCATATTAACGGGACCTTTCGAGAACGCTGGATAGGAAGGGGAAGCCTATTTCCTTGGCCGGCAAGATCTCCGGACATGTCTTGATTTTTACTTGTGGGGACGCTTAAAAGACATTGTTTTTCAAACTCCACCAACACGAATGGTTATGGAAAACAGAATTCGAAACTCAACTCGTCAACTATCAGCGGTAGAAATCGAGGCTGCGGTTCTGTCGACTCAAGAAAGACTGGAACAATCTGTGGAGACTTAAGTTAGAAGAGTTTGAATACGAGATAAAATACACCAATATGAATCCTGACGTTTTATCGCGAATAAAAATCCCCTCCATAAATATTAATACCGAAGAAACACAAAATTCACCAGACAAACTAAATTTAGATGACAAACTATCAAAGCAAAATAATCCCCCTACGGAAACTAAACAAGATCTCATGACATTAATAGATGAACTTAATTTTAATTATCTCAATGAAATTGATTGATTACAAATTCCCATAACAGAAAAACCTATTAATCAATACGAAAACCAAATTATTTTAAATGACAGCCAAAACCTTTTAACTTCTTTTATTGTCTGTACTCTAACTCCATTTTCAAAAATTAGACGCTCTATCACTATTAAAAACTCAATCTCCGATGATGAGTTCATACTGTGCAAAACCGTACTTATCTTATCAACTTCGACGTCACCTGTTACATGAATGTTGTATAATAATGAAAAAGTAATATTAACGGTTGGTAGAAGGAAGCGCAAAAAAGCAAACGCCTAGGTGGGGCATTCTGGAAGGAAGCCTAAAAACAGTTGAAGATAGGTAGTTGAAGTGAGAACAGTGTGCAGAAAGGTAGCAAGACGTTCGGCGGGCAGTAAGGCACAATAGTGAAAAATTAAGTGTTTAACCGGTATTAGTTAGCAGGTAATTATTCTCTAAGTACTTTGTTGTTAATTGTTCTATGTAATCTTATGATTGTGATGATTATAGATGTTTCATGACAATAATTCTGTATCATTGTCTTATGCTCAGGGGCGTATATTTTTCTAACGTAAAATTGTTACAATTATTATTAAATATTGCTCATTATTTATTACATGTTAAAATATGTATATTGTCGTGACTGCCCAGATATTGCAATAACGACTTTGTTTCACATTTAACTTGTTTTATCATGATTACGTTGTTCTTTGATTTCTTGTGCTCACTTTATGTCATACGTCTATAAGAGCCTTGTTGAATTTACTAACATTTTCTCACAGTGTTAAGAAGGATCTTCCGAAATCTCAACTATAGCTGGATTGCCTCCCGTATTATGGGACTCCAGTACCATCCGGCCCTGCCGGCTAACTAACCCCAAACCTCTTCGGTTTTACTTGGAATGTGTATGTCTAATTTGAGTGAGATGACATTTAGTGAGAAATTAAATAAGTCAGGTCTTATTTATAGATAGCAAAGGTTCTTAATTTATGCCTTTTGTTAGCGGTTGTTTTGTATTTATATTTGGGTAGTTAGAGCAACGATCGTGGGTTTCTCTGCTATGCTCTTTCCCCCTGCTCTAGGTGAGCATGGCATTCTCAGTTTATGTTAAATAGTTGTTAATGTTTTTGTTGTTCTTTCTATGTGTCACATGTTTAATTTGAATTGTACGTAAATAATAAAGTTAGGTGGATTTACTCTGCTTTTGTCTTATAAAATTAAACCATACTTCCCCTCTACAAAGTTAGTAGCCAGCGCCTTCCGGTCAATTGAAAAATAGATGTATACAACGTGGGTTTTCCTTATGACGATCACATATTTCTGGCCACAACTAAGTTTATGTTTTTTTTCGATCGAACCCGGGTTTGTTATACTACAATATTAAAATTTAAATAAACCCTACCTTTCTCTAAATAAAAAGATTTGTTTACACTTACGAAGGCCCGAGTTGGAAAGATAAATGTAATGCAAAATTAAAATTAATAATATCGAAAAAATTATTGGAAGACATAATTGAAGACGCAGAAAAAATAAGACTAATGAAATATGCCCATGAGACTAAAACAACGCACCGCGGAATTAACAAATCACAACACAGTTACTGAAGAAATATTATTGGCCGAATTTAAATGACGTAAACAAATATACTACACTCTGCAAGGTATGTCAGACCGCTAAATACGATAGACATCCGCAAAACATTAAACTACAAATTACACCCACTCCAACGAGACCTTTAGAATACGTTCATGTTGACTTATTTTTCGTTGAAAAATAAATGTATTTAACAATAATAGATGCCTATAAAGTAGAAACAAAAAATACATTAGAAATTACGAACACCTTATTTAACTTTCTCTATTTTGGTAGTCCGAGACAAATTACAGCAGATTTTGGCCATCTTTTACTCAAAGAATTTTGTAATCCCCATAAAATTAATTTACACATTACGACTATTAGAAACTCAAATTCAAATGCCCCAGTGGAAAGATTTCACTCTACATTATTAGATTCCATTAGATGTCTCAAACAAGACTTCCCAAATAAACCTATTTCATACTTAATAAAAATTGCCGTCATTAATTATAATAACTATTCATTCTAATACAAAAAAATGTACACCTTTCGAGATCGTTTTTGGTCATTTAAATAAAGCCACCCCGTTTGAACTAAATGAAGGCCAGATAATAAATGAATATGTCTAAAACCACAGACAATTAACAAACCAACTATACAGGGTGTTAAAAAAAGAGTGTAAAATATTGAAGGAGTTAATAGTATGAACCAAAATAAGCAGAAAAGTCTCAATAAACATGGGTCCGCAAAGTAACGGTTGCGGAGATATGGAATATTTAATGTTTTTTAGCCCCTTTTTTTATTTTGCAAAAACGGTGTGTATTTTCTTATAATAGTTGGTTGATGTTTAGTGAAATAAACAGTACGTATTTGACGGTTGTTGTCAATGCACAAGTTTTCTTTCGCTATGGCTGGTTACTCTAACGCATAATTAACAGACATGCATTTCATGTATGGTCGTGCTAATGGGAACGCCACCGAAGCGCGACGTCTTTATGTTGACGCTTATCCAAATCGCCAGATTCCTTCACAACGCATGTTTGGAAGAATTCACCAAAGATTGCGTGATACCGGTTCCTTGAGCAAACAGTGCCATTTATCCGGAAGACCAAGGTCGGTATCCACTCCTAGAGCAGAA